TAGCTAATGATCGATCCTGTGTTGTCTACTTGAAAGTTTCTAAGAGAGTAGATCTTAAGTGTCCTCACCACAGGAACAAATAGTAATTATATGACATGATGTTAACCAATGCTACGGTGATAATCAGGTTGCAATACAGAAGTGTATCAAGTCAATCTGTTGTTGATTTGTTCACCTGACACTGCACACTGTTCTATGCCAACTGTATGTTAATAAAGCTGGAAAAGATAGTGAGCCTAGCTTTAAATAAATAAGGCCAGGTGCTACATTTCAACAGGAACTGAAATCTTAAGAAAAAATAGGACAGAATTCTATAACGCAATAGGTAAAACCCACTATTTTTTTTCTCACATCAACAAACTAACAAGAGTTTGTAATAGATGCTTTCTTTAAAAAAAATTATAGGGGCGCCTGGGTGGCTCAGTCAGTTAAGCGTCTGACTTAGCTCAGGTCACGATCTCACGTTCCGTGAGTTCAAGCCCTGCGTCGGGCTCTGGGCTGATGGCTCAGAGCCTGGAGCCTGCTTCTGGTTCTGTGTCTCCCTCTCTCTCTGCCCCCCCTCCCCCCGCATTCATTTTCTGTCTCAAAAATAAATAAACGTTAAAAAAAATTTAAAAAAAATTATAATCTTTATTTTTGAGAGAGAGAAACAAGAGTGTGAGCGGGAGAGGGGCAGAGAGAGAGGGAGACACAGAATCCAAAGCAGGCTCCAGGCTCTGAGCTGTCAGCACAGAGCCCGACGCAGGGCTTGAACTCAGGAACTGTGAGATCATGACTTGAGCTGAAGTCAGCTGCTCAACCAACTGAGACACCCAGGCGATCCATGGATGCTTTCTGTACACGGGGTTTTTTTTGGTGTTTTCGTTTTTTAAGGTTATGTATTTATTTTGAGAGACAGAGGGAGCACAAGTGGGGGAGGGGGCAGAAAGAGAGAGAGAGCGAGAGAGAGAGAATCCCACCCTGGCTCCACTGCCAGCACAGAGCGCAACATGGGGCTCGAACTCACCAACCACGAGATTATGACCTGAGCCAAAGTCAGACGCTTAACCGACCGAGCCACCCAGGCGCCCCTGCGTATGTTTTTAAAACAAGTCATGCCATTAAAAACTTCAGCAATGCTGGCAATACAATGATGCAACATTGGTACCAATGCAACAGTGAGTCTGGAAAATCAACAGTAAAATAAGACACGTACACATGCCCAGGTTAAGGACCAAATTTCAAACTCTTTAAAGTCAAATCTTAGATTTAGCCATATTAATTAAGTAGCCACCATGCACCAAGCGCTGCATCGAGCTTTCAAGTTACCATGTGAATAAAATATGTTCCCCGCCCCTGCAGAATGTTGGGTCTTAAAGAAGTCACAGGGGCTACCGCCCAGAGAGCTCAGGGCCAGGCTGTCACTGAGGGCTAAGAGTAAGAGAAGGGGGCAGGAGGAGACCGGCTTCACCGGAGGGGAGCATTCACCACCCTACACGTTAACAACTGGGTGAAGTACACTAATATGCACTTGCTGTAGACAACACCACTTCCCAAGCTTCAGACAAAGGCACAGCAGGGCTTCCGTGTCCCACACAGGTGGTCACCCCCTCCTTAGAGCATTACGGCCAATTTCATATGCACTGGCCTCTCTCTGCCTGACGGGCTACACACATTTTAATTCAAAATGAGGTCCTCAATCCCAGATTACCATAATCCAAATTGGTCTGCTGGCTTCAATCATATTTCCATATTTTATCTATAATTACCCGCTTTCTATATTATCTTCTAATTTTAGAAATGGTACTCCATTTCTAAATGTTGGTGGTTCAGTTGGTTGAGCATCTGACTCTTGATTTGGGCTGTGGTCATGATCTCATAGTTCATGGGTTTGACCTTGCATCAGGCTCTATGCTGGTGCTGCAGAGCCTGCTTGGGGTTCCCTCTTCCTCTTTCTCTCTCTCTCTTCTCTCAAAATAAATAAACTTAAAAAAAAAAAAAAAGAAAGAAATGGTACTCCATACAAATAGCAATCGTTCCTGTTTGGATGTCTGCTTGAAGACTGATACATAACAATATGTTGTTTGGTTTGTGTTTGGGTCTGAATCTCCATTCAAGAGTTTCTTTCTCCTTCTGCACTCCAGGGGAATGATCTCTGGGCCACGGTGATGTCTCAGGCAGACAGTTTGAGGCTTTGTCAGAGGAATCCCTGAAGCCTTCTGGATCCTTCTGTTCCCAGCTCTGCATGGGGGAACATGTCTCTGTCCATTTCAGCTTCAGATGTAAGACCTACGGCTACCTTCCTGTTACCCATTCCTGGCACTAGACCTGAACAGTGCAGCTTTTAGGAAAGATGTTACTCATCCCTTTGCTACATCCTGCTTTGGGGCCCTTCCTGCCATATGGGGTTAGCAGAGCACCTCAATGATATGATGGAAGTAGAACTATGATGCTACTTTGGCCAACACAGTGACTCTCAAATCTGTGCAAATGCTGAAACACAAAGACATCATGATTCTTTTGGTGAAACAATCATGTCTTAAACCAGCCTGGGTGGCTTAGTCGGTTAAGCGTCTGACTCTTGATCTCAGTTCAGGTCATGATCTCATGGTTTGTGAGATCAAGACCCGCATAGGGCTCTGAGCTGACAGCGTGGAGCCTGCTTGGGATTTTCTCTCTCCTTCTCTCTCTGCCCCAACCCTGCTCATGCACACATATGCATGCACTCTCTCTCTCTCTCTCTCTCTCTCTCTCTCTCTCTCTCAAAATTAATAAATACACATTTAAAAAAGAAACTAGAAACATTACTTCTAGGAAAAATGTTTATGGTATGTATGTGATACAAAAGCTCAAGCACACATGTAGACAAAAACGACGAGACGTAAGAATAAGAAGGGAAAGCATGATCACTCATTTCTAAGTACTTCATCAACATTGCTGTTATTTGTTATATATCTTGTTTCACAGCGTTAGCAGTCATATGGTAAAAAGACTGAAAGGCTTGAGAAAATTTAGGGGGTGGGGTGCGGGCACTAAGATGCTTCTGTCCATTTTTGCATTTTTTTCCCCTGAAAATGGGAGTAAATGTTACTCTTGGTCAGTGTGTACAGATGCCCTAGTGTGGCTTATAGGATGTGCAGCGCACCGAGCGTATGCTTTGAGAATCACTGGACTACAATGAGGAAAAGGAGGGGAGAAGATGTCTTCGTAAGGGCGTGCAGACCTCTGATCCTACGACTTTTCGTTTATCTCAAGTTTCATGATACACCACAATCACCGTCATCCTCCCAAACTTAACACGGACTCCTTGGGCCCTCTCTCTATGCCTTTGTTAACAGCGTCCTATATCGACAACATGCTGTCAAAGCAGAGAAATTCACTAATGGTTTTCGGCTCAAAACATCCGTGAGACATGTGCTTTTAGCACAGCATCTCCTGACAGAGCATCAGCTCACTCTCCAGGCTTGCTGACAGTCCAGAGGGGAGAAAAGTTCTCATCTTTTTTTTTTTTTTTTCAACGTTTTTATTTATTTATGGGACAGACAGAGACAGAGCATGAACGGGGGAGGGGCAGAGAGAGAGGGAGACACAGAATCGGAAACAGGCTCCAGGCTCCGAGCCATCAGCCCAGAGCCCGACGCGGGGCTCGAACTCACGGACCGTGAGATCGTGACCTGGCTGAAGTCGGACGCTCAACCGACTGCGCCACCCAGGCACCCCAAAGTTCTCATCTTTTACGTGTGGCAAGAGCACGGTCACGCAAATAGCCTCCTGTAGTTGGGGACAGACATTGCAGGCATGCAAAGCTTCAGTTACCCTTAGCTTTTAGTTCCTCCATAATCGTGTCAAATGCATGCGTTTAAAACCCTAAAAAAGACTAGGAGCAATGAGGGATGCTATTCAATCGTCCCAGGGGTCACCAACAAAGCAGGTGACAGGCACGAGTCACTCCTAGGGTTCAGGGGAACAGGTGTCCCTGCCAAGGAAACGCCACCCCATAACTGACGGAGTTAGAGACTGATTTCCTTGGCCAGACTCACACTATGCTGCATCTCTGGCCACCTGGCAGCATACTTTCGGTGTTACATACTTTCTGTGTCTGTAATCTGTTCATTTTCTTATTTCGTGGTAATTCAAATAACACAGGCATGGATCTTTAAGTGTTTGGAGAGGTCCTCCCCTCCCTAACATGAGTGACACAGAAGACAAAAATTTAGAGGCATCCCCCCACATCTCCTATGTGAGAACCTGGAATCCATCCATGTGGTTCTTAAACAATGCGGCTAATTATTCTGATGTCCAAGAGTGTGTGTGTGTGTGTGTGTGTGTGTGTGTGTGTGTGTGTGTGTGCTTGCAGGTGGGTGGGTATGTTAAGCATGCCTTTTCATTCTGAGACTTTGATGTCTTGGGGTCTTGATGATCCTTGATCGCCCCTCCCAAAGCTAGTCATTTCCTACAGATAATAAATGACTTTCCTGCAAGCATGCCTTTCATAGATTGACCGACCAACCCAGAGTCCTATATTCCCCAACCGCCTCCTTTACCTGGGCCTCCATCCACTTGCCCTAATCGCCCCAGGGCTACGTACCCCAACTAGGGACACTCCTTACACCCCAGAGACCACTGAAATTATGCAAACTAGCCAACTCTGCTTTGCCTGTCCAGTTCCACAAAAACCGTAATACAGGTTCCTGCCCACCTTGTCCCCTTGTTCCCTCTGCCACAAGACCAACAGTGCTTTGCCACATGTCCCCCCCCCCATATGACACGCCTTCTGTTTCTAGGAAACTGTGAGTAAAAACCTCTTCCTTCATGAAAGTCATTTCTGGGTCTGTCTAATCATACCTACTCACACCCTAGGTTTCCTTAAAACTGTGTGTATGCATATGTGTTTAATCGGTAAATAGTATTACAAAATCTATAAAATCTGTTATACATCCTCAAAAGATCTAAAAGAAAATCAGCAAATGAAAGTTACATTCAGACATTTTCTAGAACAGTACAACGTATTATACTAATACCTTTGACATCTTTGACTTGGTGTCCGTAATAAGGAAAGACATATTGTTGATTTCATTCTGTACCACAAAGTTCTGCTCTTCTCTTTTGAAATTCTGAGAAGGTGCAAAGAAAATTTCAGTTAAAACCACACAGATAAGAAGCCCATGTAATCAAGAGGTTACACAGGACCCAAAAGTCTTTACAAAGAGAAGTAGTAGTTTGATACAGATTTAATAAGAAAGGGAGCAAATATTTGTTATGTATATAATGAGAGTGCTTGGCGTGAGGCAACAATTCTGGGAACTAGATACAAATATGTAATGTTTCAAAGGCGGGAACACTAAGATCCAGAATATTTTAAGCACCAAAGTCACACACCTACCAAGGGATAGAATCAGTACTCAAATCCCAATGTAGCTGGCGAAAGGCACAGATTGCTTCTTGGAAGAAACACGGGGCGTGCACAACTATGATGTAGCTTTCCATTCTGCCAGATATTTTATCTACCTTTTCAAATACTATTGACGTTATTTTATTCATGTTCAATTCAGGAGTGGGAGAACACAGTCAAAGTCAACTGTTTGAGGAGTGGTAGTGAAGAAAGCAAACACAAAATGAAAGTAGAAATAATCAGAGGTTTAAAACAGAAATTAACAATCTAAGCACATGCCTTCTTCCTCTTTTTTTTTTTTTTTAATGTTTATTTATTTTTGAGAGAGAGAGAAAGAGACAGACCACAAGCGGGGGTGGGACAGAGAAACAGGGAGACACAGAATCGGAAGCAGGCTCCAGGCTCTGAGTTGTCAACACAGAGTCCGACGCGGGGCTCAAACCCACGAACTGTGAGATCATGACCTGAGCTGAAATCAGACGCTTAACCCACTGAGCCACCCAGATGCCTCAGCTTCTTCCTCTTTTGGATGAGCAAAACTCAAATAATTTCCTAGTAAGCATCCAAAATGTTAACAATTGATGAGTAATAACATATTTTGTGTGAAGGACAGTGAAAAGACCAAGCTTCGACTTTCCTTCAGCTCACGTTAACCTTCTTTTTTTTTTTTTTAATTTTTTTTTCCAACGTTTATTTATTTTTGCGACAGAGAGAGACAGAGCATGAATGGGGGAGGGGCAGAGAGAGAGGGAGACACAGAATCGGAAACAGGCTCCAGGCTCTGAGCCATCAGCCCAGAGCCTGACGCGGGGCTCGAACTCGCGGTTCACGGACCGCGAGATCGTGACCTGGCTGAAGTCGGATGCTTAACCGACTGCACCACCCAGGCGCCCCTCACGTTAGCCTTCTAATCTTACTATTCATAACAACATGGTTGCTCGTGAGTTTCATCTTTAAATATTTGGGTAAGAATATACATGACACACACTAACAGATTTGTGTTTTAAATATACCCATGAGATTCAAAGGGTGCCTGGGTGGCTCAGTCAGTTAAGTGTCTGACTTCAGCCCAGGTCATGATCTCATGACTCGTGAGTTCGAGCCCGGCATTGGGCTCTGTGCTGACAGTTTGAAGCCTAGAGCTGCTTCGGATTCTGTGTCTCCCTTTCTCTCTGCCCCAACCCCGCTCATGCTCTGTCTCTCTCTCTCTCAAAAATAAATATTTAAAAAAAAAATTTTAATAAAGAAAAAAAATCCCATGAGATTCAAAAGTACATATTCAGATTTTTTTCTTACTCTTGAAATTATCATTAGACAGTCATCTAAAAATCTACTGATGATGATAAATACTCCTCCAAATACTTGTTCCAAAATTATGTCTTGCATATAAATTTAAAGAAGCCTTTTTTTGGTATTTTGGTGATTAATGAAGTTGAAGAGTCTCAGTTCTTCAAGGGAAAATATGCAGGTTTTAGTTTTCTTAAGTGATTCAGTCCTGGGCTCTGGATTTCAAATATTCCTTGAAAAGCACCCTGAACCATCTAATGCACCCCTCAACATGAGTTACATAGGATGAGAAATCATTTGCTTTTGGGGTGCCTGGGTGGCGCAGTCGGTTAAGCATCCGACTTCAGCCAGGTCACGTTCTCGCGGTCCGGGAGTTCGAGCCCCGCGTCGGGCTCTGGGCTGATGGCTCGGGGCCTGGAGCCCGTTTCTGATTCTGTGTCTCCCTCTCTCTCTGCCCCTCCCCCGTTCATGCTCTGTCTCTCTCTGTCCCAAAAATAAATATAAACGTTGAAAAAGAAAATTAAAAAAAAAAAAAAAAAAGAAATCATTTGCTTTTTATCTAGAGGAACATAAAGACCTAAATGAATTTTAGGCACCACAGAAAATCAAAGTCAATGTGAAATACAAATGCATATATTAAAAAGGCCATTATTTCATATATTATTTCAGTGTGCTTATATTTTTTGATGTATGTTTTTACATACATCTTGATATCAAGTTTGACAGACTCCTCAGAGGCAGGCAACAAATATTATGCATTATTCTAGACATTAAGTGGGAAATTTTTTTTTTTTTTAAATATGACATTTCCAAAATAACAGGATTTGGATAACAATCTGACGAAATAAACAAGGAAGTTTTCTCAAATAATGGAACTGAGGTTGAGGATTCTCTTTCTTGGGAGTCTCACATTTACAAAGTGCCACAGAATCGTAACTGAGACAAAAATTCTAAGATTTTGAAATAATCTGGGACGATAATCAATGTTCACTGAACCCATTTTCTGCGAGTTATTCAAAATAATTATAGAATGCTCTCGAGTTCTTATTATTAAAACCTTTTTCAGACTTAAAAACATATAGTTCCACTTGCAGCATACAAAATAGTGAAAACATTCACTAAAGATGTACTTTATAATTTCTTTTCAACAGGATTCCGAACAGGGACTGTATTTTATTCTAACGTGTACGTGAAACTAAACTCCTGTAGAAACAAGAGTGTGTGAAACAAATTTAAAGAAGTAGTATCTTGGGGCACCTGGGTGGCTCAGTCAGTTAAGCGTCCGACTTCGGCTCAGGTCATGATCTCACGGTCCGTAAGTTCGAGCCCCGCATCGGGCTCTGTGCTGACAGCTCAGAGCCTGGAGGCTGTTTCGGATTCTGTGTCTCCCTCTCTCTCTGCCCCTCCCCCGTTCATGCTCTGTCTCTCTCTGTCTCAAAAATAAATAAACGTTAAAAAAAATTAAAAAAAAAAAGTAGTATCTTTAACAAGTAAACAAATGTATCTTGTGATTGAAAAACACAAGTCCATCCTAGCATTTCTCAAACTAGGCATCATGCGTGCTCCCGGGGGCTCAGCAAAACACCTACAGGAGGGAAGCCTAGAGGAGAAAATGCCACGTCCCTGTGTCCCTTTTACCCTAAGATTTAGAGGCAAACAGAAAAAAGCATTTATGGAGTGCAACTAAAAAAACCCCCCTGAGTTTTTTTTTTTTTTTTAATACAAATTACCAAACTCCAAATGAAGGTTTATAGTGCTTCAAACTACCACGGGGAATGTGTCCTGTCTCCACACCAGTTAAGGGATACCTAGGAGGCTAGCTTGAGAAACACCATCACAGGCATTTACTAAAGGGACTGGAAAATTGGTTGAAAACTTGAAAGCCCTGGGGCGCCTGGGTGGCTCAGTCGGTTGAGCATCCAACTTCGGCTCAGGTCACGATCTCGTGGTCTGTGAGTTCGAGTGAGCCCCACGTCGGGCTCTGTGCCGACAGCTCAGAGCCTGGAGCCTGCTTCGGATTCTGTATCTCCCTCTCTCTCTCTGCCCCTCCCTAGCTTGTACTCTGTCTACCCCTCTCTCAAAAATAAACAAACATTAAAAAAAAAAGAAAACAACAACAACAAAAAAGAAAACTTGAAAGCCCTTAAAATAAACCAAACCGGAAGCAATATTTTTCTACTTACGTGGGATTTTGACCAGTAGATAAACACTTCGGCCACCATGCGGAAAAGGTCCTCTGCTTCTGGGTTAGGTTCTTTTAGCCACTTTGCCCTGGATCACATATAAATAAAGTGGTGTCTCAGTTACTCCTTCCACTTGATTTTTTTTTTTTTAAATCACCCACTCAGGGGAGGCTGAGGGGCTTAGCTGGTTACGCATCTGACCCTTGATTTTGGCTCAACTAATGATCTCATTACTTGAACCACATTGCTCCCCCACATTGGTCTCTGAGCTGGGATTCTCTTTCTCCCTCCCCTACTCATGCTGTTTTCTCTCTCTTGCTCTGACAATAAATAAACTTAAAAAAAAAATCACCCGTTAAGTTAAATTTCAAACCAAGCAAACTAAGGGCAAGTGTGCTGTCCACAGAGGCCCTAGATGGCCACTGGAGTACATCTGTCTTACACTTAAAGCAATTTAAACACTGTAACTATCAAACTGCTAACTTTTGCAGAAGGCAGACTACTAATGAGATCTCCCTTTGTCAATTCAAGATGCTTGGTGAAAATTACCTTGTCTATACACATCTGGTTAGGTCACAATCACGCACCAGCTCATCACCAAGCGAATGAAGCCATTCATCAGGACACACAAACCCAGCAAGGTCATGACTGAATTGGAGAAATGAATCCCTTGGGAACAGTGTACCTGTTATAGTCCACAAATCTAATCAAGAGCGGGTAGAAGGCATAGAGATCTCTGGCCAGAGTGGTGAACTCATCGAGAATGAGAAGCTCTGCCTCAGACATATCCCCCCTGGCCTCAGCTTTCAGATGGTCCTCCTCCGACACCACCATCGCTGCTTTTTTCTTGAGTTTCTCCATTAATGGCAAGAAATGAGTTTTCAGGAGCTGAGGTTTCACTTTATTTATAATGGGCTGTGAAAATACTGTTTGAAGACAGACATTAATATTCTGTTCTGCATCAACAGGCATTAAAAAGAAGACAGATTATAATTACAACTGTAGCATGATTTTGCCCCGCCCGCCTCCCCTCCCCCAGCACAAGGCTTCTTTCAGGATTCAGCCCATGCCTCAGGCGTTTTTCTAGTCCCAAACCTAATTACACAGTTGCTGTTCAAAAATGATTACTGAATTGAATTTGATGTGCTTTCTTGTTTTTTTTTTTTTAATTGGCAGCTAATTTGGAATGGGGGAAAAATGTTCATTCACTTTGGAAATCAATTATTTTCACAAAAAGAAGAAAAAATCCCCAAATGGAAAACGTTCTTCTGGCTCTTTCTGTACAAGGAGTAGGCACCACTGAATAATCACGAGCCTACATACAGCCATCCCGCGTTGGCTTCCCCAGCCTTGTCCCAGTGGGAGACTCAGACTGCACAGGTCATTTATTTATTTCTGAATTTTTTAAACACCCATCTTGTCCATCCTTGAAGCTGGTCCACATTGTCCGAGGTGGGAGGTGCAAAGACAGACAAATGTAGATTCTTGACTCTGTTTTGGTTATCCTCTCCCCACTCCTGATAAGATGAATCGCTAAAAGGGGGTTGTTTCAAAATCCAGTTTTATTTTTGTCTCTGTCTACAGAACCATTAGTTTTTGCTGCTGCACTTCCTGATCAGTCTTACAGAGACCATCCAATCAGGAAAATGTCTACTTATTTAAAAGTTGTATCAATATGACAAGTCACCTGATGCCTGATCAAATCTACATTTTTTTTATTAATTAAAGAACAGCGTGACAGAAACAATATTTTTAAAGATTTTTTGAGCACAGAAGAAAATATTAATGAGGCCCAAGATAGGAAAATTCTAGTAGTTCTGTATTTCTTTTCATTTTAAAACATTCTTTTACTTAGGAAATCTCTACACCTAACGTGGGGCTCAAACTCATGACCTGCGAGGATCAAGGGCCGAATGCTTTACTGACCAAGCCAGTCAGGTGTCCCTAGTCTTCTGTTATTTCAAAGACTTTTGGAAATGAAACAAATTCACGTGATGCATCCCTCTCCAATTCTTACCTGCTAACCTCTTCATCCAGGCTCCCTCATCAATTCCCAGGTTATTATATATGATTTTCAATATATTCCCCAAGAGCGTGTTCATGTGCTCGGAGTTCAGGGCGGTACAGCACATTTCAGCCCTTTCTGGATTATTTTCAGGTCCGTGCTCCCACCAACGAGACATGTAGCTGCAAAGCATGGGCAGTATGACTTCCATGACGTGTGGCATCTGTGTGTAGCGAATGCCGGACTCAGCTAATTCCACAATTTCTTCCATGAGTTTCTCCAAAGACGGTATATTTGGGCACACATCCTCCACGTTAGTTGGCAAATTCAGAGCTAGAGAAACACACATAAGAGTGAACCGCGTTCAGTGAAAGGACGGACTTACGAGGACGGCCACACTTCCACTGTGTATGGCAGCCACAAGCAGCTATCTCGCTCTGGGCTTCAGAGCTCGGCAAGACCCGGCGGGCCTTCCACCGGCTCCCTCTCTTTACTGGTGGCAGCTATATCCAAAGTTCTCTCTTTTCCCCAAGTTCCTATCTTACCACCACGCCTCACTCCTTTAAGATCAGAAAATGACCATTTCTTCTACTTCAGAGCAAACCAGAATATCAAAGGTCTCTGCCTACAGGCCTTCTGTGTGGTCTATCCTTCTGCGACCATCACCTATTTTCAGAGCAAGGAGCTCTGAGGTCCCTGTTCAGGGCTCGGCCTGTGTTCTCAATGCCCCACTACAGAGGCCATGCTTAGGCCCTATGTTGAGCCACTTATATACACTCTGTACACAGCATAATATATATGCATTATGTATATAACATACAACATATAATTATACTCTGTAGCGCCTCCTCCCCAGCAGCCTGCTGCGATGCTTTGAATCTCCCCTGGATTGTTTAACTTTCCATAAATTGCTTTCTATAAATTTAACTTTCCATAAAGTGCTTCCCACCACTTAACTGATCGCCCTTTTTCACAAACCCTTACGTGGCTAACTGTTACAGTGGCATTTCCCATCACTGACCAGATTCCCTTTTCCTTAATCTCAATGTATTCAGTCTTTCTGGACTCCCTCCTGAACTTTGTCAGGCTCCTTTTACTGGCTATTTTCTCCTTGAAGAACTTTAAAAAAAATTTTTTTAAGTGTTTATTTTTGAGAGAGAGAGTGAGAGAGAGAGAGAGAGAGAGAGAGAGAGACTGACCACGAGTGGGGGAAGGGCAGAGAGAGAGAGGGAGACACAGAATCCAAAGCAGGCTCCAGGCTCAGAGCTGTTAGCAGAGAGCCTGATGCAGGGCTTGAACTCACCAACCATGAGATCATGACCTGAGCCAAAGTCAGACACTTAACTGACTGAGCCATCCAGGGGCCCTTCAAGATTCCTCTTGAACCAACTCAGTTAAGCCGTTCTGGTATCCTCAATGAACACTGCATTTTTGTGTCCTTAGTGTTCTTTATTCTGAATTCTATCACATGTATCTACCGGTCTCTCCCGTACTGCAACTAAAACCCCCCTGAAAGAAAGAATCCAAGTCTAATACTTCCTTATGTCAAATCTCCCCCATTTCCCTCCGGTATGTTGCAAACAATTACTTGTGCAATGGCTAAAACCTGAATGAAAGCGGATCTTTCAATTCAATTCCTTTACTTTGTTATGCAAATGTGTGTTACAGAAACAAAAGCAGGTAAATTATCTGCTCTGTGTGTTTCCTTTTCTGCAATAAATAACAAATCTGCTTCATTCTGGATTCACAGCAAAAGGATTAATCAGTCAAAAATCCTAACTAAGACAACTTAGTAAGACAGGTTTACACAGAAGCCTAGTAGCTCAAATTCAACCATCTTTTACTATTTACAAATATATTGTGGCAATTATGCAGAGAAATATTGCTAACTCACATTCAACATATTTTGCCTTAGCTTCCTCTGTTATAGGAAATCAGAATTATAAAAAGGGCAAATTAAATAATGACGATTCAAGTTTTTAAAAGATTCCTTACTTGATAAAAGGCATTATAAAACAAGTATAACCAGCAGATCCCCTCAAAAGAGTTACACAGAGAAATGATCTCATTAACAGAGAGGGATGCACTTGTGGACAACAAATAGTTCTTGCCTAAGTTTTGAGAACTCTTTAGGGCTACTGGAAAGCAAATGAAATGCAGTATACGGTATCAGAAGAAATCAAACAAAAAAGTAATATGAGAGGACACCTACATAATGTTTAAGCCTTGAGAACTCTGTTTTGATCGCTTTCAATAGCTGATTGGAGAAATAAGTCGTGTCTGCTATGTTAACTATTGGCCATCCAACTCATTTCAAATCCTAGTAAATAATTCTAACAGGTTCTCACAGACCGATCCTTGAAATCATCAGCAATGGTCCTAAAAGCTTTTCAACTGGGACAGCGGGAAAAATGAGCCTACCAACCCAGAAAAATAGATTTTCCCAAGTGAAAGACGATGCGGGGCATGACTGTTTATAGATACCTAGTATGCATACAGACGTACATAAAAATCTTAAGAATACACATGCTAAGGGGCGCTTGGGTGGCTCAGTTGGTTGAGTGGCCGACTTCAGCTCGGGTCATGATCTCGCGGTCCGTGAGTTCGAGCCCCACGTCGGGCTCTGTGCTGACAGCTCAGAGCCTGGAGCCCGTTTCAGATTCTGTGTCTCCCTCTCTCTGCCCCTCCCCCATTCATGCTCTGTCTCTCTCTGTCTCAAAAATAAATAAACGTTAAAAAAAAAAAAGAATACACATGCTAAGGTCAGATTCAAATTTGAGTCACTGATTAATTGTGTTTCAGATTTATAAGTTTTTTAAATGATAAAAATTGGACTAAACTGTGAGAAAAAAATCATATGGAATTAATCTGTCCCAAGAAGACAGACACATCTGGTGAACCCAAACAAAACAAAACAAAAACCAATCTGAAGGGTACAAATCCATAAATATAATGAATAACACCCTCTGCTCACTGTACCTATGAGAGAGAACTGAATCAGAAATCAGACTGACCCATTTATTTCCATTTCTGCCAATTATTTTGTCTTATTCTTAGGAGGGCTAATTTGAAGAAATTAAACGACTTTTCTTGCAGAGACACTATGGGGATAGTATATAATATTCCAGAGAATTCCAAATCATAACATTTAAAAACAAATAGCATTGGAGATAATAAATTGAAACGGTCCATGAAAAAAATCACCGTAGGAAAATACAGTAGATGTCATTACGTTTCAAGGTCATATCTCAAATACTGAACATGCTTCTGCATTACCTGCTCTTTCTCGCGATGACTTGGTATTGTAGATAGAGTAGATGTTATGTTTGTCGAGATGAGTTTCCAAAAATGCGACAGGAAAGGCACCAGCAAAAGCAGCAAGACATTCTCCTAATGCAGAGCGTTGCCTACAAGTGCAAAATGTTTGTTTTTTAGGTCTTCCAAGTGAATGAAGAAGTTACACTAAAGGCAACAAGTTTAAAACTAACATTAGAGGGGCGCCTGGGTGGCTCAGTCAGTTAAGCTGACAGCTCAGAGCATGGAATCTGCTTCGGATTCTGTGCCTCCCTCTCTCTCTGCCCCTCCCCTGCTCATGCTCTGGCTCTCTGTGTCTCAAAAATAAAAATAAAAAAAACCTTAAAAAAATTAAAGACAAAAAAACTAACATTAGAGGGATAATAATCACGCAAATAATAAAAGTAACCCCCAAATCCAATTTCTACATTGCAAAACATCATCTGCTTTCAATAATAAAGTCTCCACCATTTAAAAACAGCTAAATTATCCGTTAGTTTAAAAAGAAGTTAAGGGGTGCGTGGGTGGCTCAGTCGGGGGAGCATCTGACTTTGGCTCAGGTCATGATCTCACAGTTCGTGGGTTTGAGCCCTGCATCAGGCTTGCTGCTGTCAGCTCAGAGCCCGCTCCAAATCCTCTGGACCTTCTCTCTCTGCCCCTTCCGTGCGTGTGGTCTCTGTCTCTCTCTAAAATAAATAAAACATTGGGGCATCTGGGTGGCTCAGTCAGTTAAGTGTCTGACTTCAGCTCAGATCACGATCTCATGGTTTGTGAGTTCCACCCCTGCATCGGCTCTGTGCTGACCGCTCAGAGCCTGGAACCTGCTTCTGATTCTGTGTCTCCCTCTTTCTCTGCCCCTCCCCTGCTTGTGCTCTGTCTCTCTCTCAAAAATAAATACATCCATATTTTTGAGACATTTAAAAAAATACATAAAACATTAAAAAATAAGTTAAAACATTATAGACCAAAATAACAAGAAAAACCCTGTCAAATCCCCCCCATGAGTCTGGACATTTCTTTTGCTTTGCTTCCTTTCTTTACATCTTCTTCTTTTTTTAAACATAATGACCTACTGAGGAAGAATTCTTACTAGGTGAATAAATGCACTAATAAACATTAAAAAAAAAATAAAGTAGTGATACCAACACAGTAATACAATTTTCTGAAAATTTACTAAGTAATTTCAAGGTAGCTATGAAGTATTAAGACATAACATATACCAAAAACTCTTAATAACAGTTAAAATTGATTCATTGTTTTTAAGGGAAGGAAGAGGTTTAAGGAATCATTCTGGGATCAATTGATTCAGGGCAGTTCATGACCCATGGCTCCCCCTGCCAGTGACATAAATTCTCACTTTCCCGGGGCGCTTGGGTGGCTCAGTCCGTTGAGCGGCCGACTTCAGCTCAGTCATGATCTCGCGGCCTGTGAGTTCGAGCCCCACGTCGGGCTCTGTGCTGACAGCTCAGAGCCTGGAGCCTGTTTCAGATTCTGTGTCTCCCTCTCTCTGACCCTCCCCGTTCATGCTCTGTCTCTCTCTCTGTCTCAAAAATAAACGCTAAAAAAAAAAATTAAAAAAAAAATTCTCTCTTTCCCTTAGCTACCTACATAATCCAAGGATTCGCTGGCACATGTTTATTAAATGTAGGACAATATGAGTTATTTCAGCATATTATGACCTCCTGAAATTACTTTACATAAATATTTTACTTTAAGAGTCCATAAAATCTAGCTAATTAAGAAAAGATCATACAATTCTCTTTGGTAGCTTTAAATTCCTAATGGAAAAATATATGACTACATAAAATTAACAACACCTAATAGTTTAATATTTTAATTAAAAATGACTAGACATTTAGTCAGCTAGGAGAAAATACCTCTTCCTAGAATGACACTGAATAACTGAATAACACAGAGTTTAATTCAAACACTGAATAACATTTTATTACTAAAAATAATTTAGGACAGCAAGAAATCACAAAGGGAACAGGCTTTGATTCAGACAGACCTGAGTCCCAAACTTATTCCTGATACTTGTATCACTTTAGGAAAATTACTCATTCTTTCTGTTTTGCTTTCCTTACCTAAAAACTGGGATGCAGAATTGCAAAATTTCTGACACATAATAGGAGTTCAATAAAAGTTTGAAAATAATGAGAATATACTTATTTAAGAATTTAATAGCCTAAAATGTTTCATATATGACCCCAAAGTAATGAATTCTCTTACATCTGACTGGACAAGTCCTTTTATTTTATTAATAATACATGTGAACTATTTAATAATTTACTTTAAAATTTTGATTCAATTAGTAATTCTCAGACCAACTGTGATTATTCGTATTTTGGAAATAGCAGGTTTTTTATATGATGCTTATTAAGATACCTACATTTTTCTTAGTACAGTGACACTCTTTCATTTTTTCCAAGATATCTTTTACTCATCTTCCAATTTTCATTACAAATTTTTTTTAATGTTTATTTATTTTTAAGAGAGAGAGAGACAGAGTGTGAGAGGGGGAGGTGCAGAGAGAGGGAGACACAGAATCCGAACCAGGCTCCAGGCTCCAAGCTGTCAGCACAGAGTCCAACACGGGGCTCAAACTCACAGACCACGAGATCATGACCTGAGCCGAAGTTAGACGCTCAACTGACTGAGCCACCAGGCACCCCTCCCAATTTTCATTTTTATACTCTCCCCAAATGACTTTATAACTGCAAGAAAAATAAAAAAAAAAAAAATGTATCTTTTTTAGATCCTAACAAAAGAATCCCAAAGTTAATCAAGGAAAACCCAGAGGTAAAAAGAATAACAATGAGAGCACTGCTGAGGTTATGAGAGAGTTTGGATTACCAGATACTACAATGTATCATAAAGTACTAACAATTCAGGCTACATGGTACTGATCTAATAATTTAAAAAGTAAAATAACAGAACAAAATAGAGATTCTAGAAATATAACCTACTTAATCTATTACCACAGTATAGAATGAAGGTCTTATTTTAAATCAGTAGATAAAAGAAATATTTAATAAATCATTCCTTTGGGAGGAGGTTGGGGGATGGGTGAACTAGGTAAAGGAGATCAAGAGGAATAAATTTCTAGATATAAAATAGATCACAGATGAAAAGTGCAGCATAAGGAATACAGTCAATAATATTGTAATAATGTTGTGCTGTGACAGATGGTAACTACCCTCAGAGTGGTCAGCATGGTGTAATATAGGGAACTGTCCAGTCACTAAGCTGTGCACCTGAAACTAATATAACACTGTATGTCAACGACATTTCACTTAAAGATAAATACTTTCCACATGGAGGATGGTTTTAAAATTTTAATTTGAATTCTACATAACACCTAAAGAGAAACATGAAATTCAGATTCATTTTCAGTAAATTCCCTTCTTACTCCAGAGATGATCATTCCGGACATTCACTACTTTCCTCAAACTTCTTATATTTCTTTTCTGAATCATCACTTGGCTGAGGCATATTTCATTGAGAAAAATGGAAGCCAGGAGACACACACCTATTTATACCTGACTTACCTACTACATGCTTTCTGTTGAATGGAGGAAAGTTCTGCGTTTCAAAACGTTCTAAAACATACATTTCTGAACACCCCATGTCATTCTCTTTATTGTGTGCTCAGTGACCCATGATAAGCTGCCGATATTACATTCTTCACTTTACTTGTTTTGTTTTTTTGTTCCTCATTAGGTCTAAGGTCTTTGAGACTAGGGATCTATCTTGCTTATTACGGTTTATTAAGCTAAATGTAAACAACAAAAAGAATGAAAAACCTAAAAGAATAAGTTTTTTTTTTCAAATGTTTATTTATTTTGAGAGGGAGAGAGAGAGAAAGTGCAAGCAGGAGAGCGACAGACAGGGAGACAGAGAATCCGAAGCAGGCTCCAGGCTCCGAGCTGCCAGCACAGAGCCTGATCCGGGGCTCGAACTCACTAACTGCGAGATCATGACCTGAGCTGAAGTCGGAGGCTCAACAGACTGAGCCACTCAAGTGCCCCAGAGATAAATATTTTAACTTCTAGCTGTTATGAGTGTGGTACCACTTTTCTAAAAATATTAAACTAAGAAGAATAAACACACATGAAATAATTGACAGATTATATAAAAAAAATTCCCAGGTCATAAGATATTATCTTTACATAGTTTCATATAGAAGCACTATAAAGTTATAAAAATGCTGTAAGTCACAAAGATGGGAAAAAGAACAGGCAAGAGATTAATATTTGCTATAAATAAAATGGTTTTAATAGATAAAATTCATTACGAATCAGTAAAATAACGCATTAATAGAAAAATGGACAAGAGATACGAAAGGCAATTCATAAAATAAAGAAAAATGGCAGAGTAAACACAAAACAATGGCTGAGAAGTGGGAGTTACGGAAGTGCATTTGAAATTAACATTGGAGGGACGCCTGGGTGGCTCAGTCGGTTAAGCGTCCGACTTCACCTCAGGTCACCATCTTGGCAGTTGACGAGTTCCAGCCCCGCATGAGGCTCTGTGCTGATGGCTCGGAGCCTGGGGCCTGCTTCCGATTCTGTGTCTCCCTCTCTCTCTCTGCCCCTTCCCTGCTCATGCTTTGTCTCTCTCTGTCTCAAAAATAAATAAACATTAAAAAAAAATTTTTTTTTTTTTGAAATTAACATTGGATCCCATTTTTAACTATTGTATTTTTAAATAGTAAAAAGAATAATAATCAGAAATGAGGAAAATGTGAGGAAACAAGGCTTTTCTTGTAAAACTTGACAGTGCCAAGTGAATCAATTTTCTGGAAAGACAGTGAGATGTTATCATGATCCTTTAATATATGCCTATTCTTTAATCTGTAACTAAAATAAATAAACTGAACTATAACTAAACTGAGACAATAACTAAACTATAACTAAAACAAATAAAATTAAATATATATAGATTTTATATATATTTAAATATATATACATAAATAAATAGAAAACTATGAACGGAGATTAACATTATTTATGGAAATGAAAAAAACATTCATTTTTCAAAAATGAGGTAACAATAAATTATAAAACTCCCTCAGTATAAAATATTTGAAGCCCTAAAAATCATATGAAAAGAGATTAACTGAAAATATAGGTAGGGGCGCCTGGGTGGTTCAGTCGGTTAAGCGTCCAGCTCTTGACTTTGGCTCAGGTTAAGATCTCATGGTCTGCGATTTGAGCTCCCCATCAGTCTCTGCGCTGGCAGCACATAGCCTGCTTGGATTCTCTCTTCCTCTCCCTCTACCCCTTCCCTGCTTGTGTGCTCTGTTTCTTTCTCTCTCTCAAAATAAAAAAAAAATAAAGTTAATAAAATATGTGTTAAAGAAAATACAGGTAAAAAATATTCAGAGTGAACTCAGTTGTCCTTTTATATGGATTAAATGTTCTGGCTCTATGTAGCTGCCACCCTATTTTAATTATTGATGCTTTATTTTTTATTTTTATTATTTTTTTTCAACGTTTTTATTTATTTTTGGGACAGAGAGAGACAGAGCATGAACGGGGGAGGGGCAGAGAGAGAGGGAGACACAGAATCTGAAACAGGCTCCAGGCTCTGAGCCATCAGCCCAGAGCCCGACGCGGGGCTCGAACTCACGGACCGCGAGATCGTGACCTGGCTGAAGTCGGACGCTTAACCGACTGCGCCACCCAGGCGCCCCTATTTTTTATTATTTAAAAAAAATATATTTATCTTAAGAGAGGGAGAGAGAGAGAGAGAGAGAGAGAGAGAGAGAGAGAGACAGCATGAGCAGGGGAGGAGCAGAGAGAGAGGGACAGACAGACTCCCACATAGGCTCTGCACTGTCAGCTCAATCTCGGGAGTGGTGACATCATAACCCAGAGTCAGACCCTTAACTGACGAAGCCAACAGGCGCCCCTACGTATTGATGCTTTATAAGTTTTAACAGTTGGTAGGCCAGATGAGTGAGTACTCTCGCATTACTTTTCCCTCTCTCAAAATTTTATTGGCTAGTCTTCTGAGTCATTCTTTCAAATGAACTTTCAAATGAATTTCCCAAATTTCAATAAAAAACAAATTTCTTAAAAAACCTTAAGAAAGAAAAGAAGCTTTTTTAAAATGTTTATTTTTGACAGAGAAAGAGACAGAATGCGAGTAGAGGAGGGGCAGAGAGAGGGAGACACAGAATCCGAAGCAGGCTCCAGGCTCCAAGCTGTCAGCACACAGCCCGATGCAGGGCTTGAACTCATGAACCATGAGATCATGACCTGAGAGGAAGTCAGATGCTTAACTGACTGAGCCATCCAGGCACCCCAAAACCCAAATTTCTACTTGAAATTGTATCGTAGTAGATTAACTGGGGGAGAATTTACAACTTTTCAGTATTATTCCATTAGGATATCCTTTCACTGGTTTATTTCATCAGTCTTCTCGCCGAATGTCATTTTCTTTAGTCTAGCCTTTAAAAAAACTGCTGTCTTTTTCTTCTCTTTTTCACAGAAATCTTTTTACTGAAGTTGCGAGTGACCTCTTATTTTAAAATTCAGTGGGACACCTGAACTTGACCTATCCACATCATCTGAAGATCTCTTCATCTTGAATGCGAAAACATGAAGAATAAAGCTGGTTTTAATAACTGCCTATATTTATGCTTAATTTGCTTTTCAGATACATATGAGGAACTCTTCTAGCAGATTCCTTCATAAACTGGACTCATAAATGCTCTGTTTAATCTTTACATTGAATATGGTCTTTACCATTATTGCTTTACTTTTTTTTTTTTTTTTTTTACATAACTTGATCGACTTTTATTGTATCAATTCAAATTTAGCTTAAAGATTGTTCAATTACTCCCAAGGAATTCAATATGTTGATCTCGTTGTTTACTGTGTAACTAAGGAAAAAATGATAAAGCAAAGACTAGAAATAAATGGCTGTAACACGTGAAACAGATATTGACACAAAGTTAGTTTTAAAATCTTACCTTTCCACATAAATACTTTTGCTGGTTCCCAAAGCATATAAGCTAGTCAGAATTCTATAACATGACACCTGTACATCTTCCACTAAGGAAAAATAAAAACAGAACAAAAACACTTGTTATTGTTGTACGAAATTTTAGAATAAAACCAAAATTCCATATTGAGGGCATACTTATGTTTTAGCATTTTTAAAAAAAATCAAAATTAGGGGTGCCTGGTTGGCTAAGTCGGTTAAATGTCCGACTTCAGCTCAGGTCATGATCTCGCAGTTCGTGAGTTTGAGCCCCACGTCGGGCTCTGTGCTGACAGCTTGGAGCCTGGGGCCTGCTTCAGAGTCTGTGTCTGCCTCTGTCTCTGCCCTACCCCTGCTCATGCTCTGTGTCTCTCTCTCTCAAAAATAAACAGACATTAAAAAAAATTGTTTTTAAAGCAAAATTAGAACAAATAGATATGTAAAATGAAATAAAAAATTATTTCTCAAACAAAATTCGTTTCTTTAAGGAGCTGAAAGCATTCTATGGAATGGACTATAATTATTCGGAACATTCTCAGGAACATTTTAAGAATAATTTTTCTGTAGATGGAAGAAAAAAGGATTTCTTCAAGAATAAAATTAAGCACAAGAATATTTGGGAAGGTCAGGCAGATTGTGTCTCCTGTTTTGAAGGTATATAAAGACTGTGTCTTTTATTTTAACACCTAAGTGAACAATAATGAGAGTGCTGGAGGAGGTCATGAGTTACTTGTTTTTGACCTGACATTCAAGGCATCGGGAAGCCAATCTTATAGAGAAGCCAGAAACTAAAATAAAACCTTATAGGCGATCTATGATCCGATAAGTCATGTTTAAAAGGCAAGAAAGAAAATCTAAGAACCTTGCATTTCTAATCCCAACTCTTCTAGTATTTCCTGGAGAATACACCATGACATGAATGGAGAAATCATCCTTGCCCTCCGGACCTGGTTCCGTGTCCACACTGCACTGCAGTGCTCCTACAATGGTTCAAGGACATGTGCTGCGAGTAGCGGCTGTGTTATCCACTGAGTAACACAGTGGTTTTCACACACAACCGTACTGCACTGGGAGACCTACAAGGTGGAGAGTCTGAGTAGGCATGTCATTAAGACACACTTAACAAGGGCTTACATCTCTCACGCTCAACATCAGTAGGAGAGTCGGAAATTGGGACAGGTCACGTATCATTGTGTTTCGCATTGCTATTAGCATTCTGTGGACATTTTTAATAATTATGGAAATCTATGCAAAAATAGCCGATTAAATCCATAAAAACAGACCAAAACCTACAAATAGAAAGCGTGTGAGCCACTGTAGTAGGCCAATTGTTTAGCCACGGACTTTGTCAGAATTACAGCTTGTAGAACAATGTGCACTGACTCAGACGTAATTGGAAAACAATGTTGCACATCCCGTGATCAAACTGCATTAGAAAAATTCCATGGAAAGAGGGAACAGAGAAGCAGCAAAATTTGGAACCTGCACTTGAACAAGGTGGAAATGACTGCCCACCACCACTACCTTCCTGGTCCCTTCTGTGAATGCATATGATTCAGTGATCTACCTCTCTAAGAATGGTTTCTGTAACTCAAATGTCAACCGAATGTTCTGGGGGCAAAAAAAAAGAGTGCATTTCAATGGATAAGCAGCGCTTGATGGGGCTTTTACAATTTCTCATTGTACTATCAGATAGTGAAAGTCTAAGTAATAGGTTTACATACATATTAGATCTTCTCCGAACTGATGCTGGCCAATATGCTCAAATAATGATGACAGCATTGGCAACAGAGCCACCGTGGTATAATTGATAATCTGAGTAACACCTTTGGGTTGGTTTCGGGTGTGGGTGAACTGGCCCTGCTTGAGATTCTCCATTGTCTTCTCCAGATCCTCCGCCGCATTGTCCAGAAACGTTCTGAGAGCACTTTTAACAGTCTCCAGGCCAGTCTTCATGACAGTCCTAGCAATTAGAGAAGGGAGAACAGACACCTTGCAAAAGGACCAAGTGGAATAGAAATAACACATGCTTCTACTTTGGTTACTTATCCGTGACTTTCACTCAGCCAATTACTTTAATTCACCCTCAATAAACTTTTTCAACGTACTTGAATTTACAGTGATATATTGCTCTGTGAATGCATAACCTTTCCCAAATGTCTTCACCGTCAACTTAATGAGGGCCCAGATCAAGAGGCAGCGCTCATGCTCTGTATTTTCTAGCAATTTTGAGTATTTGTTTCGTAATGAGCAAAACACAGGTTTTGAGCCAGCTAATCCCCAAATCCAACACAACCGAAACGGTCTCTGAGGCAACGGCTGTGAAAGAAACGTTGAATCCCTGCTACACCAAGTCATTAAATGATGTAAATGTTTTAGGAGTGAAGTGTAGCCATGAGCTAAATGAGCCTCTAAAGGCTGAACTTTGTACAGAAGTGACCCCCAAATGCCACTATTTCTAGTAGGAAATGAAGGGATCTAATAGCATCTACTTTTTTCATTTATTATACAAAATACCTCAAGTAAAATTTTAAAGGCAAAAATAAAGAACCCAAGAGTATCATGGGGTATTCTCTGTAGGAGACATGGAGGAATTTTTATTTAGATCTATCCTGGATAATAAGTGAAATAAATGTGTGACTTAAAGGCTGAATCAATCCTGCGAGATACACGGATTTGGTATTTAGGCAACGATTGGGTTTCCAGTCCTGTGGCTGGGAGGGCAGAGTAGAAAGTACACGGACTTGGGAACTGGCCTACTTCCACACTTACTATGCAATCAAAAGCTTCACTTTGCTCATCTGTAAAATAAGAATAAAGCTCATGTCCTTATAAAGCTAAATGTTACCACAAGTGTGGAACACCAGTTACCACACCTAGAAGCTACTGAGACCTCTGAGGTTGCAGCTTACCATCATCTTTACTGGACATGATACATTCCCGCTTCAACCTTCAGTTACATACCTAGCTGCTACAGACATTGCTTGAAATTTAAATAACGATATATATATATGATCACAAAAATAACAGAATGCCATTTATTAGTAATTTATAAAATAGTTTTCACCCACAAGTGTTTATTACAATTCCAAACACTGAAATCAAGAGACAAGGAATGTCTTAATATTCTTTTAAGTGTAGCACTACTATGCTCACTTAGACAAAAACATATCCATTTACCTTGCATCCAAAGTCTGACCCAAAATATGAAGACAGTTGACAATTGATGTGGCATCATTTCCTAAAGAGCAAACAAAATGCTATATAAATTGCCCGGAGGATTTCTCAGCGACCTTTTCTGGTAATATTTGTGTACCAAAAATTAGTCAACAGTACAACCCGACAGTAACTCAATTAACAAGACTTTTTGATAATCAAGTTCAAAATCATGCGGTTTTTCTGCTCGAAAGTGGTTATGCAAATGTAAGTAGAAAAGCAATAAAGCATGTTTCATCAAATAGCTGACATACTCAAGAAGCATTCAAAGCACTGTGCCAGGCTGAAGTGTTTTAACTGAACTCTTCAAATATATTCACCTCCCCATATTGGCTCATCTTCCTCCTAAGTCATAATGTGTATCAACTTTTTAAAATCAGCTCATATCCTTTATGAACGAGATGGGCTAAAAGTCCCATAAATAAACTGAATTCCTTTGCAATTACCCAAGCGTCTCTGCTTTCTTATTCCATTCAGCTGCATTAGGATGAATTATTTTGCCCAAGTGTTTTTGGCCTTCAGTGAAAACCAGCCACCAAACTATCACGTAAATAAGCATCAGAAGCTGAAGAAGTTAAATCCTACCCTTTTCAGACACTTGAAATGGGATGGCTTTTCTTGAAAGATGACATTCACCCATTTTAACTGTGTATTTTACCAGAAAGTACAGAATTATGAATTACTGTACCTATTTGGCTTTGTGATGAAGATACATAATAGCAAATAAATAAAATGATGAATCCAAAGTTACAAAGTAATTTGGCCACTCACAATACAGCTTGCCATTATTGCTTCCTCATTTTATAGTTCCCTATTTATAATACATAGAGTCATTTCCCGGGTCCTGAGGTCTGAACGTACATTTTTAATAACATTTGAGTATGTTACATTCTTTAGGCAAAAAAAAAAAATCCTAATATATATGAAAATTAACAACTGCCTTAGAATCTGGATAAGACAGTTTCGTGATATGATATACATAAGAAAAAAGAAAACTAAGGTGTTCATTGCTAGACTCTGAGTTCTTTGATAAAATGTTCCATTCATCTCGTGCTTTGATTCTCAGAATTTCTGGTAATAATGAAGACAAAATCAGCAGAAAGGCAGAATTTGTTATGTCCCTGTCTATTGATTCATAGGGCTTTCACTGCAGCCCATGGAAGTATTACTCCTTTAATTATTCATTCACTCAATAAATACATGTCAAATATCAGGCATTCTGAAACTTCCAGTTATAAGTGAAACAGAGTTCTCATGGTACTTGCATTTTAATGGAGGACACAGTTAATAAAATGTTAAGAAAAAAATCAATATGAACCTGATACCAGGCTACAGTAAAAACTATATATTTATATATATTAATTATATAACTATATATATATACAGTTACACACACACATACATACATATATCAGAGAATAGGGATTAGAGCAACTGGATAGGGTAATAAGGTGAGTGGTCACAAGGCTGTAAGAAGGTGGCATTTGAGCAGAGATTTGAATGAACAAATCATGCCTATGCCTGGGAGAAGGGCCCAGGCAGAGGGAACAGCATGTGCAAAGGCTCTGAGGCAGAAAATGAAGCTGGTGTTCCACGTAAGGCAGTGAAGGTGGCTGATGTGTGATCAAGATTCGGGGGAAAAAAGGGGGGTATGAGGTAGAGAGGAGGGGACTGGCCAGGTTTTGCAATTAGAGCAAGAGGTCTGATTTTTTTTTTTCAGGTGCAATAGAAAATATCCTTAGGTTTTGAACAGGAAGGGTTCTGGTTTCTGTTTTAAAAGGACTAATTCACACTGTGCGAAACTCTGGAAGGGCAAGAGTGGAAGTCGGTTAGGAAGGTGCTAGTCAATGACACTGAATTTGCATTAGGATACCAGCAGTGAAGAAGTTAAGAATTCATTTTAAGCCTTCGCTTATAGACTGAACGTGAAATGAGACGGATAGGAATCAGGGATAACTCCAAAATTGGGTGAGCACTTGTATGAGCAATTGGGTGAACGGTGGTAAGATTTACTGATGTAGAGAGAGCACAAGACAGGAGCGGAATAAGGGAGCTGGGGGCAGCTCAATCTGCTTCAGGTAGGTTCAGAGTGATGGGCCTATTAATGTCAGGTAGAGATGTAGAATAGGCTGCCGGTGCACACATCTGGAGTGCAGAGAACACAGCTGGGTTGGAGCTACACATTTGGGCCCCACAAGCATACAGATCCTTTGAAAAATCATGGGCCTGAATGAAATTGGCCAGCATGTGCATAAATACAGAAGAAAAAAAAGGTCTCAGGGCCTCCAATGTTTGGAAGTGTGAAAGATAAGGAGGAGACGGCCCAGAAAATGAGAAAGAGAAGGCCCAGGAGGGAGAGGGGACACAAGGCAACGTGTGAGACTCTAATGGAAGTTATTAGTTAGCCCCAAGTCAGAGAGGCTGGCCCCTCACTCTTTGTCCTAAAACTCAGTTCTTTTTCCCTTTCCCTTCCAGTCTGCTGTCTCCTCCTATAGAGGACCAGTGTTTGTACTTTGAGCCTTTTCCAAAGGAGTGGCTGGGGTATTGCAAACCTCCATTCATTATGAACTTGTGAGGCGGGATTTCTGTTCCTGGTGTAGGCCAGCCCCGAGAATAGTGTCCGGTAAACAGCAGGTATTTGGTTAAATCTTGTGGGCTGTGAAGAATAGGAAATACTACCAGTGGCCAGACAAGTTCTGGGGGTCAGAGGAAAATGCATAGGGCGTATGGGAGATTTCTGTGATTGTAGAGTAACCCACCATAAGCCCTGGGAATCGTCACATTTTGGTATACTCCATATTAGACGCAGTATAACTTTGAATGGAAACATCTCCGTGTAAAAAAAAAAATGGTGGGGGGAGGCCCCTAAGGAATGTAGAAAAAGTACAAATTGAATTCTACCAGCAGGGGTAGAGGCCTAGCTTATGATTAGTTTTGAAGAGATAAAGCATGTAGCAAGAACTTTAAATAAGAACCCCATGCACCCCGCCCTTCTGAAGGCTCTCTGGATCGCCATCACCAGAAATGTCAATCACACCATCGGTAAGGACAGGAAAGGCTAGTGACAGTGGAGTAAGATGATCAAATTCTAAAGCGATGATTGTATTTTCATGTATTTAACTACATGTAATTTCTTCACTACTCGGACTAGAATAAAAACCCAAAGTTTGATACTTTCCAGCTTATGCTCTTTCAAGGTCCAAACTGCTTCCCTTGTCTTCAAAGGGAACACACTTTCCTTGGTCAGTAACTGACCAACACTTAAGGAAACACCCATGAGTTAGTTGCCTACTTGTCTCTGAGGTTGTGTGTTCCCATCAGTGCGTAAGCATGAAAGGTACATAACTAAAATCATAACCTATACCTGAATCTGACAGCAAGAGACGGCAAGCATTTGGTTTTTACAATGATTGTACCAACTCATACAACACGACAACTCTCTAAATAAAAACAACAAAGTTAAAAGAGGTTAAAGTCAAAATATTCTTTTTGTGTCTTAATCTCAATTTGTTTTGTGGTTTTTAATATAAGGTTCCTGTAAATCACGAGTTTTCAATGTTATTCAAAATCTGACGTGTGATGTCCTGCTTCTGTTCTGTAATCTGATGTTTCGAGTCACTTTGGGAAAGCAGTGACAGACTTTCTGATTTTTATTCTTCATCCTCACTTGTCTCCCATGGCTCTTGACACAATACCTCATTGTGTTCGCTTCTTTGAAGAAACGATTCATCTTGGCAGAATCCTCATTAGTAATGTGAAATAAAACTATGCTAGAGGCACAAATTTCTCTCAAAATTAAGAGGGGATAAAAAGAGACTGAAAAGGGCCAATAACTTCATTACTTCCAAAGTCTGTGACACTGAACAGAGTAAAATTATTGAAACTTTAACCTAGTGAGAAGTTTTAGTTAAACTGAAAATATATTTTAGGTAATTACATATTCTATTTATTTACCCCGAAGTAAGTACATTCTCTCAAAGTGGTATGTTCAAAGGAAAGAAATATCTGTTATCACTCTAATACTATTTTCATGATAGGTCTCTAATTCTGTCGTTTCTCACCTATTTCTTCACAAGAAATGTGTTATTTTTTTACATAGCACATAAAACAAGTTAAATCCAGGAAACTCTTGCCTTTGCTATGTATACTGTCATGAGACAACAGAACTGTTACTCTAGGGAAAGACCTTAACAATAATTTAGTGATTTCAACAATACTCAGCAAAAGCAGCACATTGCGCATAACTGAACTATTCAATTCCCAGCATAATGACATGTCCAATTTTCAGATATGCACTATCCTCAGAGACCCTGAGTGCTTTAAGTAATTTTCCTTTCATTATGTGTCCCATTAAACACAAGCACGATCTGAACCTTCTTAGGGATAATACATACATGTACTAGTTTTCTAGTATCTCCTGATACAAGATAGCAGCCCTCATGTTAAACACTTGAATGGGTTTTGGGGGTGGGGAGGTAACAGATGGGTCAACGTAAATTTAACACATTAATTTGTTAATCAGGGAGAGATACCAACTGATAGAATCTACTGTATCACTTTACTACTGAAACTCTGCAAACATAACATTAAGATTTACACGGCAGTTTAAATCAGGCATCTCTTCCTGGGGGGAGAAAACCCAACATTTTAACAAGAACTACTGCTTCTTTTAAATATGTGACAATACTGGGGCGCCTGGGTGGCTCAGTCGGTTAAGTGGCCGACTTGGGCTCAGGTCACGATCTCACAGTCTGTGAGTTCGAGCCCCGTGACGGGCTCTGTGCTGACCGCTCGGAGCCTGGAGCCTGTTTCAGATTCTGTGTCTCCCTCTCTCTCTGACCCTCCCCCATTCATGCTCTGTCTCTCTCTGTCTCAAAAATAAATAAACGTTAAAAAAAAATAAATATGTGACAATACTTACCCTATTTAATATCCCTGCGGCTAATACTGGAGTCAAATTAAAGATGTGCCACATTGGGTTCTAGGGTCACTGAGGACAAACCAGAAGAAATTCTGGAGTACTAT